TCCACGTTTCACAGCCATATATAAATATACTCAAAACTAGTGTTCTTAGCAGTCGAAACTTAGGTATAAGAAAGAATAAAAAGAAAACCAATTATAGTAATATTTGTAGACCGTATTATAGCTAACAGCCTATATACTTTTAAAACAACAACGATACATTCTGAAAATTTTTTTCAGTGTGGGGTGGCGTTAATCTGATTTACTTGGGATATCCTGTGTTCAGCTCATAATATTTATGGGATGTCCCTTTCCATCTCGAAAAATGTGTGGCATGTCCATTTGCAGCTCGAAACATTTGTGGGATGTCCCTTTTCAGCTCGAAACATTTGTGGGATGTCCCTTTTCAGCTCGAAAAATGTGTGGGATGTCTCGTTTTTAGGTCAGGATATTATTGTCATCGTAGTCAATGGTTAAAAAAAGCCAGAAAAGTGAGAACCAGAAGCTTGTATCTCCAGAACACACGCAATGGAGCGAAAGTTATGATCGAGAGAAAGAAGTACGATCTCTGAAGCAGTTTTAATTTCCCTTGTCTAGTGGAGACATTTAATGTATTCTTGTTGAAGCACTCAGCCAGACATCACTGCTTCACATCGTCATACATAATGAATCATAGATTCGAGCTCTGAGATTTCCTCATTTCTGGATTAGATCCGTCGGCACAGCAGCTTATCAGATTGACTGTCTACTTTAGACTTGTATTGCTAATTACTTCCTTACTTTGTGTAGCCAAGGCTCTGGTTTTCTTTATTTAAATTTAGCTAAATTATCTGAATTAGCTCTCATATAGTTATACCTGTCTCTTTTCAACGTTAAATATGCTTTTTCTTCCTATTAAAGTATTGATGGTTGTATATCATCTATTACTAGTAATGATACACTACCCACATAGTGTTATTTGGTCTATAACAAATATAGGTGCTCTTCCAATATGCTCGATGCGCCTGAAGGCGTGAAAAGGGATCTTTACTGTTACCTTCTAGTAATGATGCAGATGCACTTGTTATTGTTTTGATGTCTTTGAAAATAGAGTCTAATAATAAATAAATACATTACCACATTAACTAATTTAGTACAAAGCAAGCCATCATATATTCGCCGAAGTTTATTTACATTATACACATTTCCTTAACATACAGTTGTGTCACTGAACCACTGTACTCGAGGTGCCTTCAACTTATTCTCTTTCAGTTATTTCTTTTGACCTAAGCATTTTATTGTTAGAATAACAACTTTATGGGATAGAATAAATGAAATAATGTTTGCCTGTACTTTTAGCGCCTGTGGTTGAGGAGCTGAAAATGCGCTTAGCAATTCCGAAGTGCCGGGTTTGATACCAACGGCGGGCCATAAGGCAGAAGACCGGATTGCGTGGTTTCGACAGTGGTTAGAGAATCGATCGTACAGTAAGCAGTGGCAAACTACTGTTTTAAAATTGTCTAGTAACACAACAATCAGTCATAAGATAGGGTTGGTTTTGCAATGTCCTGTACACAGCAAACATTTTAAACTGCATGAACTAAAAAACAGTTAAAACGATGAGAAGGAACCTCTAGGAATGAGAATAAATAGACAAGATATCTAACGTTTAAATCGTATTTTTTTTAAACGAGTGAAACAACTGGGATCCTGCATTGCAAAATCGAACGAGAAAATAACAGTTTCCCTACGTAGGATAAATTTGTCTTGTTCATTGATAAAATTTTTGGCTGAAAATATTCCATTTATTTACCAGAGAGGGACTGTGTATTATATTCAGAATAAGGACTGGGCACAATAGACTTCGTCAACATCTGTTTACACTTTTCGATGTAGGAGACGTACCCCTGCAGCGTGGCACCCGAAAATCCGGAGCGTGTGCTCCAAGATTGTCAACTGTATGCTGGCAACAGAGACGCGATTTGGCCTGTTTCGACCACAGTCAAGAAAGCGCTGTATGGTACACGAGGAAATATGGATGCACGATAGTTTTCGTAAAGGCTAATAGCCTCCCGATAACAGTTTTCTGACAGAAGGATCGAAGAAGGAGAAATGTATTTGTCTCTTTAATTTCTTTCTTTGAGCTCTCGAGTCATAAAATTGTTTTTGTTTTACTGTATTTCTAATTTCTTTGAACTTTATGTAGTTTATTTCTTGATTTTCCGTGACATGATTACCCTATAACGCAGAGGTTCTCAACTTCCTAATACCGCGACTCTTTAACACAGTTTCTCATGTTGTGCCGACCTCAACCATATATTTATTTTCGCTGCTGCTTCAGAAATTCAGTGAATATGTGTTTTCCGATGGTCCTAAGGCGATCCTTGTGAAAGGATCATTCAAACCGAGTATTCTGACATTTTTAGCCGCGTTTCAAAACCTTTAAGCTAGAAACAGTTTTTTTTAAAAAAAGTATCCAGAAACCATGAGTTGTTAACCTTTTAGCCCTGTGCTATGGATATCGCAACCCTTCGGTCTCGATTCCATAATAGATACCGTAAAGCTGGGAGAAATGTGGCTTTTCTACCTACCCGTGGGCGTGAACCCGGGCCACAAGGAGTTAGTCACCCGGTCGTCGCGAAGTCAGCTTTAACCAACTACGCTAGCAAGCTGGGCTAGCTAGAGACATAAATAGAATAGTACCAATGTGTATGTATTACACATTTGGCCGTCGATCGTCTGCGTACATAGACTTCAGAGCCATGCACTATCGCCCCGGTACCATCACAAGGGGAAGGTCGCCGTGGCGTAGGTGGCTAGACGCCCACCTGCGGATCGGAAGTTGTGGGTTCGCGTCCTAGACATTTTTCAGAAATGACCTTGACTCCCAGGTCGACCCAACCTTGAGTGGGTACCAAGTGCAGTCCTTGGAAGTAAAGCCGGCCGGCATGATGCTGACCTTATCATCTACCAAGTGCCGATTGGTCTATAAAAATATAGATCTAGCCCTACATTCCCAATACGCCTAAAGGCGCGGAAAAAGGATCTTCACTTTATTTAACGATCACAAGGATTTGCAATTTCTCAGGTGCTCTTTACCATGTACACATTTAAGACTGCAGTACTTAACACACTTGGTGTTGAAAGGATACTGACATTCGAAGATGATGTTCTTACATATAGGCAGGCGAGCGATAGGTAAGAGACAGCTCAAGAGCTGCAGGCGTCCGCACAGTGTCTGGCTGGTATTCAGATTTGAGTGCTGTCAACCCAGAAAACACGACTGTCTTATGTTGCTCTGGAGACAATAGGATTGTTAAAGCTGATGTTTCAACCCAGACATCCCAAAAGGGAATAGCGTTGAGAAGACTTCCTTCTCAAGATTAAATATACATGCTACTAATATCTGCCCCCTCCACCCTATCCTATATATATATATATATATATATATATATATATATATATATATATATATATATATATATATATAGTTGGAGGGGGGCAAATACACACACACACACACACACACATTGCATATATTTTATAGACTGATTCCATATGCAGTTAAGTTGAACCCCGTGTTAAATTCTTTCAGTCCAAGATAACGCACCATATGTACTGGATATTACTCATGTGCATCAGTCAACATGTTTTGTGTATTTGTGCATCTGAAATTCGGACACAATAGAGCCAATAAAGTTGTGGACCAAATGACAAAAAATCTAAAATGCAGACAATATGAACACCAAAGGAACACTGTTCAACACAGTATTCGTATCAACGCTATGATATCAATGTCAAACGAGATTCCTGCCGTGACGCCGAGAGGCATTCCAGGAATATATAAAAGAAGAAGAAGTATAGTCAGAGAAGCTAAATCAGTCCAACAACAAGTCACCCACAGTGTGCTGTGTATTTGGGCCCTGTGGATTAAGTTTACCTATATTTTGCTTCATCATTATTGCTTTGATCAGACATCAGTTATGATGTTCTGAGACCGAAAGAGTTACAGGAGAGAGAATCGTCTTTGTAGCGCTAAGCTTCATCCGTTACAGCAAAGTCTCTCCATAAAGCTGATAGTCAAGCACGAGAAAGATACTAGAAGCACGTACTATGTAACTACAACAATGACTCCATGTTATCTCCGAAACACCTGCATCTGCAGTTCGAGGTAATATCCTAAATCAAACGTACAACGCCATAGCAGAATCTATAACTGTTATATAACTTAGGCGTTGCGAGCCCGACTAGTAATTCCAACGTACCGCGATCAAAACCCATTGTTGGCTGCGTGGATTTTTATCATGGTATGGGGTGTCGCAGGTCGACCCAGCGTAAAATGGTTACCAGGATGGCTATCCTGGGAAAGTTAGGACGGCTGGCGAAACGCTGACCACATTACCCACCTAGTACCGATGGCCTGTAAAAATATGGGCGCCTTTCCCATTTCCCGATACGCCTAAAAGCGTGAAAATGGATCTTTACTTTACTTTACACAACCGGTATAGCAACTGACAAAAGGCCTAATCATGTCACCAGGGAAACCCAGTGAGAACGACCTATCGGCTATCTATTCTCTGCGTCGCGAATTGATGTTGTCACATCCTAATATTTTCTTGATTGTTTAGTAAAATAATGTTAGGGCATGTGCATTATTTACAAATAACAAATTCTTCGGTGCTTTATTATTATCCTACCCCAGATGGCGTCACAGGACAGTCGAACATTTTAGAGGATGATAAGACTGAGTTTCCCTACTTTCTGATGATTTTAACGACCCCAAAACATCAAGAACTAGTCTTTACCCCAACCCAACTACGTCCCACGAAAGAGTGCAGCCTAGGTCCCACGACTGCTTGCAGATTAGGTCCTACGACTGCATGTAACCTATCTACCACCCCCTGAAATATTAGACTGTCCTGTAACCTGGGAATTTCCCCTGTTTTAGATGGGATATTAATAAAGCACCAGTTCTTTGATAAAATTATAATGTAGATTGACCTAATTTTGTTAACTTTATCTAGCTTCAATACATCTATTACCACGAGGGCAGCTTGGCATATCCCAACTTGCAATGAAGATATATGATTCCATGTGCAAAACCAAGTGTCCAACTGTGTTTTCAAATGGCTACAATAGCATCTTTTTTTGAGAACGTTACCCATAACACATCTGGAACCACACCGGGGCACGAGGTTCTGCTCGGTGCCCAGTTGTGTCGAGACAGAAACGGATATACCAGTTCAAGCTTCTACAATGCTCTGACGTGTGCCTTTTGTTTTATCTACGTCTTCGCAGACTACAATGTTAGCTTTGATTTCCGGTAAGTCAGTTTCAAAGTTTTTTTTAAAACATATATTGTTTGTTTGTTTAGTAAGTCAGTTTTTATAATTTGTGTTTTTTAAAAGTCAGATTGTACGTTTGGGTTTATCTAGTAAGTCGGTTTGTATGGCTTGAGGATTATGTTAGTCTGTTTGCCCTCTTTTTTAATTAAAAAAAAAGGGGGGAAGGGGTAGGGGAGGGGGGGGGGGTACTCAGAGTGAACATTCCTGTGTTTGAAGTAAGTCAGTTTGTATTGTAGTGAATGTCTCAGGTAAGTCACTTTATGCGTTTCTAATATGATTCAAGTATGAGTTTATACTTTTTTGCTTTGTGTATTACAAGTGTCAGTTTTTACTTTTTTTTTTTTTTGGGTGACTCAAGTGTTCAGTTTCTACGTTGGGGGGAAAATGTGACGGGAGGAGGGGGTAGGGTGGTGGGGGGGGGAGGTGGTATTCAAATGTCAGTTAGTGTGGCTGTGTTTCAGGTAAGATTGTAAATCAGTTTATACTTTTGTGTGTGATTCACGTGTAGTTTATACGTGTTTTTGGTAATCCATGTGTAGTTACTACGTTTTTTTTTTTTTGGTGATTCCCATGTAGTTTATACATGTTTTTGGTGATTCATGTGTATTTATACGTGTTTTTGTTGATTCGCGTTTAGTTTTTACGTATTTTTTTTTTTTTTTTGGGGGGGGGGGGGGGGGAATTCACGAGTATTTTGCATGTCACTTTGTGTCTTAATTTGTTTAAAGTAAGTTTGTATGTGTGTGTATCATTGTGTTACAAGTATGTCACTTCGTATCTTTAGGTGTTTCAAAGTAAGTTTGTTTATATGAATATTACAAGCATGTCAGTTTGTATCCTAATGTTTGTCAGTTAAGTTTGCTTGTATATGTATGTGCGTGTCATTGTGTTACAAGCATATTGGGTTGTATCTTTATGTGTTTAACATAAGTGATTGCACGTGTGCGTGTCATTGTGTTACAAGCTTGTCGGTTCGTATTTCAAGGCAAGTTTCTCTCTCTCTCTCTCTCTCTCTCTCTCTCTCTCTCTCTCTGTGTGTGTGTGTGTGTGTGTGTGTGTGTGTGTGTGTGTGTGTGTGTATATCTTTGTGTCACAAGCATATCAGTTTCATCTTAATGTTTCTTACGTAAGTTTACCTGTGTGTGTGTGTTTGTTTGTGTGTGTGTGTGTGTGTGTGTGTGTGTGTCACTGTGTCACAAGCATGTCGATTTGCATTTTTATGTTTTGAGCTAAGTGATTGCACGTGTGCATGTGTTGCAAGCAGGTCAGTTTGTATCTTTGCGTATTTAAGTAAGTTTATACATGTACTTGTTATAGGCAAGCTAGATTGTACTTGTGCGTGTTTCAAGTATGTTATGCTTTTTATTACGCGTGTTGCATGTAATTCTTAGAGGGGAGAAAAATAAAGATTAAAAGGGGGGGGGGGGAGGGGGAGTAGAGCACCCGTCCTCTAGGAAATTGACTAAGGTTTTAACTGATTCCCCCTTGAATACATGGGCGTTTTTTTAAGTACTGTATTTATGTATGCATGTTATGTGGGTTCATAGCAAAAGCAAATGGTCGTCACTTAGTGCAGCAAAAGCCTGGCATAGGATATCACAACGTCTAGTTTGAGAATGAATGTGAAGGCAGTCATTGCTGTCTTCCGCTGGATTGAGAATCACCTGTACACATATATCGTAAATGTGACATAGTATTTTGAGAAATGTGGAGACAAGCATGCTTCGTGCAGAGTGGCAAGCATCGCTTTAGAGTCCTGCGTAGTTAGCGTCTTTTGGAATGCTTTCTCCATGTCATGCTGGAACGTTGGGAAACGAGCAGACAGACAGACTTGGTGCCGAATTGATGTATGATAATTTGGATGTTGTGAGCACCCTTTGGGAGCGAGTGAAAGGGCAGGAGGACACGCATCATTATCGTCTGAGAATAATAGCGCTACGGAGAGTTACCAGGGGATCTGGCCGACGCTCAACACTAAAACGAAGGACGATACCATTACTATAACCATAGGAAATGGAACTATTCATTTGCTGCTGAAGATGGAGACGTATGGGAGTGTCCCGAGTGCTGTGATGTCGATTCCTAATTCAACATTTACCAGTATTAAAAAAAAATATTTATTTACTATTCAGTACAAGATAATAATATAGACTACTCACTTAAACAAGACTTAAGACAATTGAACCACTCTCCCAAGACAATTGTTAGGGGACTTACACCTCCTCCCACTCGTCCGCCGAAACATTTCTTTGTGGCAACAAATGCCGTGACTGGAGCTTGTGGTCAGATCAGTTATCCTTATCCTTATTGATTGATTATCTTTTGTTGATTGGATTATTATTTTTTCTTTCGTTGAAACTTGTATCATTCTTACCCGCACAAGACTGATGGTTACGCTTGGCGACTGCTGTAGCCATTACAAGTTAGTTGCGTATCCTTTACAAAACTTTGCAGATCCAACTATAGCATGTTTTTGGCTGTTGTGGTTTTTCTAGGCAAATTTACGTCCAGTAGTTTGCCTTTTGCTCTCTGGACGGTCGGCTTCTCGATACCACTGTCGAAACTAATGCAAGACGCAAGGCCTGCAGCTGGAATCGAACCCGGCACCCCCGGCATTACAAAGCTCGCTGGCAACGCCTAAGCCACAGAGGCCGACGCTGTTGCCATTACGGATGCCATAATTATAACTACTTTGGAAGTTGAACAGGCTATTTAAAAACGGTCTTGTTAGTCTGGCATCTAGATTCTTTGATGTTTACTTCTTCCGGAGCATTCTGTAAATTACTCTTTCACATGCCTTTCTATGCCCCATGAAGTTGGGTAAAAACTTTTGTAAGTCTTATTACATTTTTCAGGATTGCTATCAAACTATATTTAATACTCTTGTTCCACGTAACTTTATAATACATGGGTTAACTTGAAATATTTCTCTCATTTTTTATATTCCTAGTTGATTACTTTCTATTCTCTGTAAGTAGAATATCTATATACTTATTTATGTTATAGCCACTTATAAGTCAGTTGATTTCTTTACTTCCTAATGAATTTGCTTTATCACATGATTTCTATCCCAATTTTGTTAGGGGGAGGGGTGCGGGGGGTGGGGAGGAGGGGGTGGGATTTGTTTGTTTCCTCTAATACTGACAAATGTTTTTGTTTGTTTGTTTAAACATTCCCACGTGCCAGTAACATTTTCTCCTCGGTTTGCATCACAGTAGTTCCCCTTCATTACTTTCTAACGTTTATTTTTGATTCTTAGCAAAATCTTTCTTTTATGCTTTTCATTACTGGTCGTTGGCGTGACGTTCTATCATTTTCTGTTTCGTTTTCCTTACTTTCCAGTGTTACTTTGAAGTTTCTCTTAGCGTCAGATCACAGGTGTGTCTTGCTTCTTTCAGAATCTTTATTTGTTTTTGTTTTTTAAGTTCGTAACAATAAGTTAAAGGGAGCAGCCATGATGTAGAGGCTAGACGCTTCCTTTCTGATAGGAAAGTCGTGGGCTGAGGTCCTAAAGGAGCCAGCCATTTTTTCTTCTTCAAAAATTTCCTTGGATCCAAGGTCGATCGAACCTTAAATGTGTACCAGGTAAAGTCATGGGAAGCAAAGGCGACCAGCATGATGTTTACGATATCTCCCACCGAGTGCCGAGATATAGGTCTAGTCCTGTATGCCCAATGTGCCCGAAGGCGTGGAACAGGATCCTTTACTAGTAAATAAAATGAACACAATAACAGCAGTGCTCCTTTGAAGGACGTCACTCTTATCAGTCAAACCGAAAGACTAGCTTGTACAAGTCATCCAACAGTAGATAGTCTTTGAGATGTGAAATGTTATCATCGTCAAAGTCTGGTACCCCATTGCGTACTCTCCTATGCGATCATTTCCGCATCACGAATAGAATCCAGCCAAACACCCTTGGCCTCTCTCCTATGCGATCCTTTCCGTATCACGAATATAATCCAGCCAAACACCCTTGGCCTCTCTCCTATGCGATCCTTTCCGTATCACGAATAGAATTCAGCCTAACACCCTTGGCCTCTCTCCTATGCGATCCTTTCCGCATCACGAAAAGAATCCAGCAAAACACCCTTGGCCTCTCTCCTACGCAATCCTTTCCGTATCATGAATATAATCTAGGCCAACACTAATGACCTCTCACCGGTGCGAACCTTTTCATATCATGAATAAAATTTAGTCCAACATCTTTGACCTCTCTCCTGTGCAATCCTTTCCTTATCGTGACTAGAATTTAGCACATTACTCTTGCCCTCTGTCCGCAACCTTGGTGTTATGGTCTCTCTTCAATGTCATAATTTTGATTGATTCTCAAAGATTGGGTCTATGTAAAATCTCTTGGAAGTATTCTACCAATCTTTACTTCTGCTTAGCATCAGATGTAAGCATCGTACGATCCATACATTTAATGAGACCATCCAGCCTTTTGAAGCTGCCTATATATATATATATATATATATATATATATATATATATATATATATATATAGTTTTTCTTTTAATTTCTACAGTTAGCTGTATGTTTTTCTTTTCTACCGAGCCCTTTAATATGTAGTCAATATCTTGCTCTTGTTTTTTTGTCTACTTATTGTTTAATGCTATTGCCATGTTCATTTGCCCTAATTTTTTGGGCTCTTGAGTTGAGCATTGCAAACCTTAGCGTTAACGTCACTGCAGTTTTCTCTTATTTTAAAGCCCCAATCCCAGCTGTCGTCTGGAGTCCAAATATAACCTAACGATTGAACTTGGTTTCTGTTACTTACGCCTGGGGGATTCTCATCCTAATGATGGCACCTTGTATCACCGAATGTTAATCGCTGGTTGTATGGTCCTGGTGGGATTGAATGTCACTAACTCACAAGCCTTAGCACGTGTTGTTCTTCTTTGAAGACACTGTTATGTGTCGTCAATTATATATAGTACTCTCTCATTTTTCTTTAGTCATGCACTAATCACCTCCTCGTAGTGCATATCTGGTTATTCTCTCCACCTATTACTTATCTGGTTCCAGTCGGTGTTTGGGCTCCCTCGAAGCCGAGCCATCTCATAGTTTCCCATTTCTTATGCCGGAAAAACTCACACGAAACACCCGTCAATGTCTCTTGTGAAACTTCAGACAGCAGTCAGCTGCAAATTCAACAGTTTGCACACTATCAAATTCACAAGGGTGCTGCCAGAGGTTTCATCTCATACAGTCTGCCAATAAAATTTCCATCCATAATCGATGAAAGCAGCAGTCACAACAAACCAGCTGTTGCACATGCATTATTACACAAGGCACACCGAGAATTATGTGGCAACTCGCCATTTTCCGAACAAGCTTTTGACATCTATTCTTTGTTTTAGAAGTTTTCAGTAGCTGTGAAGTGTTATCTCTTACTATTATATAGACTGGTGGTTCTCAAACTTTGTTACACCCGCGGCACATCAAAAACGAGGAAAATTTATTCGCGGGCTTTCTGACGGCTAACCAAACACTAAAACACACATACACCCCCCCTCCCCCACACACACATACACAGATATGAGACAAGTTGTTTGTTAATTCTGATGTGACACAATGCTAACCACATTACCCACCTAGTGCCAATTGGTCTGTAAAAAATATGTGTGCACTTTCCATATGCCCGATGCTTCTAAAGGCGTGAAAATAGACCAATGCTTTTGTTTCACAGCATCGGCTGTTCTCCGTAGTGTTTTTTACTCTACTTTCTCTCTGAAGAACTTTATAGTTTATTTTCATACGCCTGGCGCATCGGAGATTTAAAGCAAGAACCGTAAAATACAGACCAGAATGTGCTCAATGGGTTTTCCTAGTACCTTTTTAGAAATGGTTCGCATGGAGCCAAGATCCAAATCCAAGACTGGCTATTAAAAAAAAACTATTAAAAAACCCATTGAAACTTCTTTAAACACACACACACAAACGGATATATGCATACATGTGTGTGTGTGTGTGTGTATGTATGTGTGTATGTTTGTATGTATGTTTGTATATGGGCGTGTATGTGTGTGTTTGTGTGTATGTGTTTATGTATGTATGTATGTGTGTATGTATGTAATTGGTATGTATGTTTGCTTACCATATATCTAATCGGAATTGAAATTCTTTGTATATTACATCATTAATGAAGCATTTTTTTGGTCGCTCACTTTGTTACAAAACTGTTGTGGCGGTTTTAGCGTGTCCATTTAATGTTGTAGAGCAAAATAACTTTGATCTCAGCAGTGCATTTATTGTTCAAGTCTTCAAAGAAGGGCGATTGTTTTAAAATCCTACTATTGTTAGATAAAGAAAAAAAAATTTTTTTTTACTGAAGCTGCTGAGGAATGAGGTAATGACAAAAGACTCAAAATAAATATTAATACTAATAGACAGCGATTTTCGCCTCCACGTTTTCTGTCAGAATTGTAAACCAAAAAAATGTTTCGCATCTTTTTTTTTTTCAGAATTAGATATAGGTAGTTGATGTTGCATTTTTTGTTCCCTTTTTTCTTTAGTTATTTGTTTATGATATTTGTCCTTATTAAGAACCAATGGCATAATTACGCTAGTCTTCTTTCAGTAACATTTATTACAGTCTGTTTCAGAACTCTTGCGGAACTTTAGAAAATATGTAACAGTAACCGTTTGGTGTAAGTTGTAATGTGGCATGCAACCTGTAAATAATCATGTGAGTGAAGGTTTTTTTTTTTAAACGTAAAAAAAAAAATACCTAGCTTTTATTCTGTCTGTCTGGTGTGTATGAAATTTAAAAAAAGTGCCGACACTGATTCAAAGCAAAGCAATCAGCGTGCTTTCAGTTAACGGGTTCTATTACACAGTTCAAATTGTACTCGTTTCATAGGCCTTTTTCTCTCAAATGATCATCTTCAACATAAGTTTCTCGTGGGTTGCAGATTTTTCATTGAGTGAGAAATAGGCTATCAAAATAAAAACCATCTATCGGTTCACATCTAAACCGATTTCTCAACAAATATTAATTACTGTATATTCTATTGTTCCAGGGATACAGAAATAATTAGGTTAACAAAGATGCCAAAAACCGGCCGCTTTAAGTAAATAGCGTCATCTGCTAAATTGTAAATTATAGAATCTCCGGCAACATGCTAACATTCGTGCTGATCCCTACCGGGGTTTTTCAAGATACAAGTTAAAATAACAAATTATGTTGATCCGTACAGGGAGCTTGCAAGATAAGAGTTAAAATAACAAAGTGTGTTGATGCGTACAGGGCGCTTTCAAGATTAGAGTTCTAATAACAAAGTGTGTTGATGCGTACAGGGCGCTTTCAAGATAAGAAATAAAATAACAAAGTGTGTTGATGCGTACAGCGCGCTTTCAAGATAAGAGTTAAAATAACAAAGTGTGTTGATGCGTACAGGTTGCTTTCAAGATAAGAGTTAAAATAACAAAGTGTGTTGATCCGTACAGGGCGTTGTCAAGATAAGAGTTTGAATAACAAAGTGTGTTGATGCGTACAGGGCGCTTTCAAGATAAGAGTTAAAATAACAAAGTGTGTTGATGCGTATTGGGCGCTTTCAAGATAAGAGTTAAAATAACAAAGTGCGTTGATGCGTACAGGGCGCTTTCGAGATTTGAGTTAAAATAAAAAAGTGTGTTGATGTACAGGGCGCTTGCAAGATTAGAGTGTTAATAACAAAGTGTGTTGATGCGTACAGGGCTCTTTCAAGATAAGAGTTAAAATAACAAAGTGTGTTGATGCGTATTGGGCTCTTTCAAGATAAGAGTTAAAAAAAACAAAGTGTGTTGATGCGTATTGCCCCTCTTAATACAGTTCCTTTGTTGTTACTCGCAGCATTAAAAAAAGTCCGAATCCGTCATGATCTGATCCCGCGACATTCGGATCTGCAGACGAATGTCTGTCCGCTACACCACGGCAGCTTCCGTTAAACTGGGGATGCGTTTTTTAGATTCATGTCTGCTTTCAAGTGGACTCCTCTTAAAATGTGTGCAACAGATGTTTTTGGAATTATGGGTAGTAGGTGTAATACTGAATGCCGATAATCGATAGTTCACTAAAACATTGAACACACACCAATTTATTTAAAACCTGTAAAGATGCAGAATATGCTTCTTTACATACACTACACATTAATTATTCTTTTTGACTGTATCAGACAGACTCTGGGACAACGCCATGCAGCAAATTCATTGAGCAAAAGAAGATCAAATGGTTTGGTTATCTAGTAAGAGTACGACCAGAACAACCACCAACGAAAACGCTACACATGAAAAGATTTGAGGTTAAAGCAAGATGTCGCCATAAGAGAATATAGACTGGTGACATTAAAGAGCTGCTCCGTCACACGAAATGACAAAAGCCATTGCTAACCATCATGGAATGAATCGCAGACTGCCCCCCCCCCCCTCGCCACTCCTGCCCCTATGACGCTTAACAATAAAAGTGGAAACTGATGATGATGATGATGATCCTGATGATGATGATGCTGATAATGATGATGATGATGAATTAACGAAACACATGTTTGTAAATTCGACTATTTTTCCAGGACAAATGGACTCGTGACCGGAAAGAACACAGTCTACCCAGAAGGCACTCGTCTGGATACGGATGTCAACAACTCGGTTTCAGTGTCGGCGGTATGCGGACTGTTGCAGGACCCTTGGGAATGCTGGAAGTGGCAGACCTGTTGCAGGCAAGCCCGTGACTGCTGTCAGCAACAGATACAAGCTAATTTACAGCCTTCAACGGTGAGCATTCAACGCGTTTTCTGTGTGTGTATGTTGTGTGCATGTATGTCTGTGTTGTGAATGTGTGTGCGTATGTGCGTGCGTATTTTTGTGTGTGTTTAATCTGTGTCTTTTGTATTAAACAGTTATATGCAGAGGTTTCGAAATCTTGGAGCCTTGGCCATTTGAAGGAGCGTCAAAAATCTTTTTAGTGGAGGAGGGGGCTCTCGCTAGAATATTTGTAGACTGGTTTAGCAGCCCGGTTAACCATGTATAGAAAAAGTAAACTAAAAGTAAAGGACCCTTTTTTCGCGCCTACAGGCAACAAGTGCGTTTGGTCTATAAAATATAGGCCTAGACCTATATATATATATATATATATATATATATATATATATATATATATATATATATATATATATATATTAGGGCTGTACCGAATAGTGATTTTCACTATTCGGCCGAATACGAATAACGGGACCAACTATTCGGCCGAATACGAATACGAATAGTGTATAGTCTATAAAATATATCTTTAAAAAAAAATCACAATTATAATGTCTAATGTACGCTGAACTTTTGCTTCATATACATATACATATATACATATACCTAATACCTTCGAGGTCGATGAACATCTGTCTGAAAGGCAAGCCTGCCTACAGATAAGCCAGATCTGTGAAATTGACGTGCACACAACACTAAGAATCTGGAGCAAGACTAAAGTCCAGAGGTGGACGAACACCCAGAACTTTCTGCGGGATTTTTGGCTGGTGAACGTGAGGAAAAAGAAAAAGATTGCAAAGATATCCGCCGGTGTTTACAGCTGGTGAACGCCAGAAAGAAAAAAAAGAAGATTGCAAAGAAATTTCCGGTATATATTTGTTGTTATCTGAATGTTACATAATTTAGCGAGAACATAATAACAAGTAAAAGTCAAGGTCCCTTTTCCACGTCTTTATGCGTACAGGGCATATAGGGCTGGACTTATATTTTTTATACACCAATAGGCACAAGATGGGTGATGTGCTCAGCAAACAATAGAATATACAGTAAATGACACGAGTGGAGGCGGTTTGGAAGTCACTTTGCATGTACAACGATCCATGGTGATTATTTCGATAGCTTATCCTGCATTCAAAAAAAAACAAAACAATATAAAACACACGGTAGGCTAACGCTGGAAATGACCACATGAGAGTGAAAAGCATACAAAACGCTTGCATTTTGATGTTTTGAAAAGTTTCCGTAATTCAGTAAACTGTAAGCATGCCGAGTGATTGCTTTTAATCGGTGTCTGTTTATTCATCATCATCATCATCATCATCAGGTGCATTGCCGACTGGCGTGGGCGACCATGCCTCTTCACAATCTGCGATCTTCTACAGCATGTATCAGTTTGTGTGCCGACACACCTCCATGCCATGCAACAAGACTGCCAAGAATCTTCTCTTGTTGACTTCCTCTATCCCTCCTTCCACAGATCTTTCTAGTGGTCACAACATGTTCCATTTTCCATCTTCTCATTACATGGCCGAAAAATGATGACTGTTTATTCATATTAAATTTAAAAAAGAGCGGGGGTGGGGAGTGGGGGGGGGGGGGGGGGCTGAGTGGTCTCGAGTCATGGTGTCCGCCTGGAGTGCTAGAGGTTCCGGGTTAAAGGATGGGATCTTTTCACGGGAACTTGAACTTCTAGTAATTATCTCTGGTGTCTGGGTATAGAGATCGGACGCCTGGGTGCATTGTTGCCTAACCGCGAGGCCCGAGAAAACTTTGGAGTTAGAAATCTACCCAAAGTATTTCAGGATCCTCACTGGTGCTACAGAGCTTGTGCACTGTGCTGAGCTTCTTGGGACTCAGACTTGAGTTAGAAGAAGAACGGAGCACTTATGAGTTACTACCCGTGTGCCATGATGCTGATCCGTTGTTCAAAACCTCAGACCTAAAAAAAAAATATAAAAAAATGGCAACTTTTTTACAATGGCATGATCATTAAATCGCACGCCAAATTCCAAAAACTCAGACTGAACGGTTACTGAATTACAGATTTTTAAAGTTGGTCATGACTTGTGAAACTGACTATAATAAGTGTAATCATTGCATTGACTCGCCTTAGACTAACTGTTGGACTACACCAGCTGAGGGAGCTGGTATCAACGGCAAGGGGTAGACCAATACATCAGTCAGTCGACTGGGTCGTTACAGTAGATCGTCTAGAAAGTATTCTTGCACAGAGACCCAGTCAGGTACTAACGAATCTGTCAAACTGTGGTACTTTGTTTAAACTTGTCCCTGCCATTTACTCCTGCCTCTGGTTATTAATACACAGCAAACATTTCTTCTCAACTTCAATCAATGCTTTATTAATATCCTACCCCAATCAGGGGAAATCCACTAGTCACGGGACAGTCTGATATTTCAGAGAATGGTAGATAGGCTGCATGCAGTCGTGGTATCTAGGCTGCACTCTCTCGTGAGACGTTTGTGGGTTGGGGTTAGGGCCAGTTCTAGATGTTTTGTGGTCGTTAAAAGCATCAGAAAGCCGGGAACCCAGACTTACCACCTTCTAAAAATTTAGACTGTCCAGTGACGTCATCTGGGAGTAGGATATTAATCAAGCACCCTTCCATCAACAGCAGGCTTCCATCGTCTGCTCGGTCATTGTTCTCAGCATACGATAAATATTCGCTACCGCTGTCAGCTGTTCAGATCACTTTTACGATCACTCAGTCCAGCCATCCGCTTTCTCTCACTGGCTTACACCAAATGCCTTTCCTTCTATGCTACGTTTACCCATTCCCTTTCTCCCCAAGAGATTCTCAACCATCATTCGCTGATTCTCCTGGACTCACAATCCCTTTTTTGCCACGATATTACCATGATTCTTTCTTAGCTGGTTTGTGCACTCTTGACCTGTCCCGTTGGGAAACCATTTACTGACGTCATGTGATTTCCTACCCATTCATCATCATCATAAGGTGCCTTGCCGACTGGCGTGGGCGATCTTGCCTCTCCACAATCTGCGATCTCCTGCAGCATGTATCAGTTCATGTGCCGACACACCTCCATGCCATGCAACAAGACTGTCAAGAATCTTCTCTCATTGTCTTCCTCTATCCCTCCTTCTACAGATCTTTCCAGCGGTCACATGTTTTATTTTCCCTCTTCTCATAACATGGCCGAAAAATGATGACTGTCTCCTTCTGATGTCTGTGATGAGTTGTCCTACCCATTACAATCACTGTATACACGTTTCCTACATTTCCTATGATTTTAATACAGCTTAATACACTGGGGACATCAGCAACATAATGATCATCACATTCAATGTTCATCGGTTGTATTTATCAATTATTTACCCTCATCATCGTATACAAAATAAAAAAGCGACATTAGTATCATAGGGATCAAGCACTCTCCGTTAGTTTGCTATTGTCTGCTTATTACGTTAAAGTGGGCACAAGAGTAATGCAGTGACTATTGAATGCACTTTTCTGTTTACGCGAAATCAGCATATAAAAGGGGAATTTCACACATTGAAGATTACTTCAAAGAATCCGTCTATGTCAGCTGAGGGCAGTAATGTCGTTTCCCCACCCCCCCCCCCCCTTCCAGTACTATTATCTGATGATTGAACACTCCACAGCATTCAGATTTCATCCTGCATGGAACATGACAATTCCATGTTCAATCTCCAAAACATTTATACATCAGCCTTGTGTAGCTTCAATCATGTGCGACTAAGGCAGTAACTGGGGGAAGAAAGAGTTCGTGTGAGCTCTGTAATGCTAATGGCTATGTGCGAGAGGGAGTAAGGACTGTCGGCGACTAGTTAAACTAAAATGTGAAAGAGACAGAAGTATTGTTTCATATGAGAATTATATAAACAGCATGATCTGATGCAAAGCGTAATGAACGATATGTCTTAACAAATTACCTGACACAGAAAATTGATTACGTATATCAGAAGTATACTGCCAACTGCCAGTTGCTGCCTAAATTTTGCGGTAAAGACAGTGAAGTCCTTGAGCATGAGGATTTAGAGCTGCATGGCTAGTGCTGTCGCCACTGATTGTGCAGGTTTTTCTCTTTCCCCACCCCTCCCCCACAACAGAAGTAAACAGTCTACATTTTTAGGTACTTTGTGACAACTGGAAAGCTAGAAAAAAATTTAAACAGATGGACCTAAATGAGAAAATGTAGGACAAAGGGCATTATGAAAGCACATGTGTATCACAAATGACCGACAATACGCTAGACAGGAAGCTCTGGGCAGACATAAAAACCAATACAACCGGTCATAAATTTTAAGAAGGAAAATAAACAAAATAAAGTGCGGACATTAATAACAAAGTTATCGATAGATGTAGTTTTCCACTTAGTGTTTTCAATTTACGCATAAGATAATAGAAGGAAATTAGGGTAATATAATGATCTTTGAATGAAGGGGCGCTGACGCAAACAAAAACGGGACAGGATAAGTGGAAAGGGAGGGGGACTCAACCCACTTACATATTTTCTTAAGAAGGCCCTAGAAGTTATAAACTGTTTTCTATTGTAATAATAATTATAATAACCTGCTAAACTGGCAATCAATATATATATATATATATATATATATATATATATATATATATAAAGACACTTTGAAATAATGTATGCATAAACGAAAAAAGTAAGAAAAGAGCTTCTTTAACTGGTTGGGGGTGCAGCTTAACCTCTTTAAAACTTAAAGGGCTGAGATCACGTTTTAAATATATGGAAAAAGGGAGAGGGGATGCGAAATGCCTGGGCCTTCACAGTGAGCTCAAGGGGGAAAGCCATCAAGGAAGTGAATGGCGTCTTTGCTGTTGAACTAGCAGCCTCACGAAGAAAACGATGGCTGTCACAGGGGAATTAGCATGGCCTGGCACTTAAGAGTTCACACAGGCGTGCATACTTTGTGACTCCATAAAAATGCTTAAGGAAATCTAGACTGGGCTCATCAGTCAAGAAGTAATTGCAACACTGAACACTTC